ATGTTTATGTTCTATATATAATAATAACTTGACACATTTTGCACACGACCGTCTGATCACAAATTGGAGAGAGCGTCTACTACGAGTATAGTAACCAGTGCTGATAAACATACTTATATAAAAACAAAAATATATTACAGATATTTGACTGCCTCGGTGGCGCAGCGGTAGCGTATGCGACTGCTGTGTTGAGGTCTCGGGTTCGATTCCCGGGTCGGACCAAATGTTTGTATGATCTACAAATATTTTTTTTCGGAGTTTGGGTGTTTTCTATGTATAATATGTACGTATTTACTAAAAAAAAAGTATATAAGTATTGTGGCAGTCAATCTATTTTTCATAGTACAAGCTCTGCTTAGTTTAAAACTAGATGGCGCTGTGTATCAGTTGTAAGAAATATTATTATTATAATACACCCAAACTCAGCACAGATTATCGTGCTCATGGCCCAATTATTATTCCTAAATGTGAATCGATGTTCCTTATCGCGCCTTACACTCTCTGAGCGGATGGGAGCGACACCGAAAAATGTGCAACAAGACTTTTTTCCGACACTAAGTTTAAATCAGACTGTATAGCAAATTTCTACCAAAAAGCGAATGGAACTTTGTGTCTACCGGGAGTCCATAGACTCCTCACGCTGTTTTTTTATACTTTATCTTTTTTAAGTTTACCACAACCGCAAAAGGGAAAGTTGTAAATTTAATATTAAATCACCGTTTTACGTAACATTGATAATATTGCCTAAGTAAAAAGCGAGACAGGGTGTTTGCATTTCTCTTATTTTACCCGAGAAACAGAAAGAGAACACCTTCAAACCTTCAAGAAAAGAGCGTCCTCAAAGGTTGGCAACGCCACTCCTGAGTTGCAGGCGTTCAGGGGCGGCGGTAGCTTTCCATCAAGTGAAAAAAAAACCACATAGAGCCACAAATGACGTGAAATAGCGCACAGGAAATTAACATATATCGCGGGAAACTGTTGGCTAAGCTTTACTGTTTATTAAATAAGGATGTTCATCTTGTGAAGGTGCTACAAATGATTCCTTCTTTAGTGACACACTTGCATACAGATAAAAAAACTAAAAAAAAAATATTTGTGTGATGAGTAGGATTGTTTGTTCTGTGTCTGGGTGTTATTTATCTATAATATGGATGTATTTACAAATATATAAGTATGTTTATCAGCAGTCTGGTTACCATAGCACAGGGTCTGCCTAGTTTGACATCAGACAGTCGTGTGTGAGATGTGTGAGGTTATTATTATTATTATTTTTATAAACTACACGCTTAAAAATATACATAAGAAGAAGTAAAAATTATCTAAAAAATATAGACATTGTTAAAGATTATAACAAAACTGAATTAAGTGGATTTTAAATTGTAACTATTACTTTGTTAATGAAATGACAAATACATTAGTTTTTTATTTAAAAAATATGAAACCTGTCACACCAAAATGGCTAAACGAATGCTTGCGGAGCCGCCTACAAAAGTTTGTTTGGTTTTTGTTGTTTAAACGCACTGTAACCGTTTGCCATCAGTGGGTCCGCGTACCTGTCAAAAATATATTTCTATGAAACAAAAAAAAGAATTTTGAAAATCGGTTCACAATTGACGAAGTAATCGATGAGCAAACATAAAAAAAAATACATACAGTGGAACATAGAACCTCCTCCTTTTTTGAAGTCGGTTAAAAACATGGAAATGTAACATGTTGACAGATAATATATTATGCTATGTTATGTCCGTGACATCACTCTGTCACACTTATCAGCATATCAATGTATCACAAACACGTGACGCGTTGTTTTAGTCCACAATTGGAGCAAATAATGTCACAATTTTTTTTATGTATCTCTGGTTTGACATATTTCTACTACTAAAATTTTATTTTAGTACTCTTTTACGTAGAAGTAGTAATAAAATAAATGATAAACTTACACATATCAAACACGACCGTCTGATCCCAAACTAGGTACCCGTATTTTTTTTTATAAGTCAATTCCCGCATTAGCAACATAACCTGTGTCGTGGGGGACTTAATAAACGGACACAAAGAACACCCACACTCATAACAACAATTTGTAAATCACACAAAGTGTCGTCCCATGTAGGGTTTGAACCCACTACACTCGGAACAGTAGGAAGCGGCGTGGCGACCGCTTAAACCACTCCATCCGTGCAGTCAATATTATAGTACCCAGATTGTTATATTTCTAAATACATTAATATTATAAATAAATTACTCCCTGTGTTCTGTGTCTACAGAACAAATTATCGTGTTCATCACATAACTATTTGTTCTGGGTTCGTAATAAATTTCACTATAATTATGTTCTGTGTCCACAGAACAAATGACCGTCCGCAGCTCACAATTGTCAAAAATGTCAAATGTTCTCTGTGGTTAATTCAACTCACGAATTTTTGTTTATCAAGCAGTCAGGACTAACCGCTAGACAAACAAGCTAGCTTCAGGAGTAAGAATTCTTGCTTATTTCTTACTCTTCACAAAACGTGGTGTAGTTAATTATTTATTCTATAAAGAATTGTGGATTACGAGCGCTCCAAAACGGCTGACCTTAAAAAGTTAGCATTCACACATAAACCTTGTATTTGTAAATACCCGTATGCCCTGTAATCAACATTAAACAGAAAATAAACATTAGGTATGTTACATAATGTTACGTACAATCGTTACGGTTGACGTGATGTAGGGTAAATTGTTACGAAATCGCACTTAAAATGGTATATTGTGAGTTTCCGGCACAACGAAGTTGTCTGCGGTTGATAAATGAAATCGGTGGGACGAATTTTGTACCATTTGGTTTCGGGAATACCTTCATAACCAATCGGCTAATTCATCATCATCATCAACAGCCTATACTAGTCCACTGCTGGACATAGGCTTACCCTTAGAAAGGAGGTTTTGGCCTACTATACCACGCTGGCCAGACGGGTTGGTATAGGGCTTGTTTTAAGTTTTCCTTCTCTTTGCAGTGCTATTGTCCGCAGTTTGCTCCCTTAGTCGGCTCTTACGACACCCACGGGATGAATTGGGGTGGTGACAATTTGTATTTTTAATCCGTCACCACACGGACTTACTTCGCGTTAATTCTGCTAACTTACTTACTTATTGAATAGTCTATGTCAAGTCCCGGAAAAAATCATAATGGCAGCCATTATAATTGTCATCCAACTTATTGGTATAAACGCCATAAGGAAGGGGATTTCATTTAACGTTTAGTCGCATTACAAAGTTCAGTAATTTAAAATATTTGACTTCATTGTAGTCTTATATATAAAATTCTCGTGCCACAATGTTCGTTCCCGTACTCCTCCGAAACGGCTTGACCGATTCTCATGAAATTTTGTGTGCACATCGGGTAGGTCTGAGAATCGGCCAACATCTATTTTTCATACCCCTAAATGGTAAGGGTGAGCCATCCCTAATTATTTTTTGTTTTGCAATACAACGTTTGCCGGGTCAGCTAGTCTCTTTATAGAATCTTAGGGTTTTTCATTAAAAATGTAGTTTCTAACTCATTAATGTTTCGTTGTCTCGCGGTACCTCCAGACATTACTACCAACCACGCATAAATGGCTTAACGGTTCTGGGTGAAATTTTTCACTAAAATAGAATATGGTTTTGATTAGCACATAGAATACCTTTGTGGAAGAAATTGATAGTCAAAATCGAAATAAACACAAACGAAACTACGGGCAGAAACTAGTATACAACGGACCCCTCTACATCTATACTAATATTATAAAGCTGAAGAGTTTGTTTGTTTGTTTGTTTGAACGCGCTAATCTCAGGAACTACTGGTTCGATTTGAAAAATTCTTTAGGTGTTACATAGCCCATTTATCGAGGAAGGTTATAGGCTATATATCATCACGCTAAGACCAATAGGAGCGGAGCACCAATGAAGAATGTTTCAAAAACGGAGAAAATTTATTACTATTGAGAGACGCAGACGAAGTTGCGCCGGTCAGCTAGTTAAATATAAAGATGACGTGAATAAAATGAGTAACGGAAGAGTAAATACTTACAATGTTATATGTGAGAAAAATACATATTTAATACAAAAACTAGTTCAATCACCTTCGCAGTAGAAAGTACAGTAACTTCAAATAATCCAAAGAAATCGAATGGGCGTGCAATTCTCGTGTGCCGTTTATTTTACTTCAATGGACGTCGTGACTGTTCATTACGGCACGTAATAGCTGTTATGTTTGAAGTATTCTGTTGCGTCGTTTCGATAAAACATTTTTATAATACGACCAAGATGATAAACGAGTACATAATATAGAAAAGATGATGGTATAATATTCTGGGAAAATAATATATAGGGTTCTAGAACTAAGCTAAGTATATGACTAGTGTGTTGGTTTAGGGGTTATCAATCCTGCTGGGCCAGATGTCATGTATGATCAATACACATTTTACACATGACTCCAAACTAGGCAGAGCCAGCACTAAAGTTTGCCGATAAAATACTTGTATATTTCTAAATACACTCATATTTATACACTGACTCAGAACAAATGATAATGCTCCTCATTCAATTATTCGTCCCGAGTGGGAATCGAACCAACGATCTCTGGCATAGTAGCTGGAATAACAAAACCACTAGATCAACAACTTCAAAAAATAATACAACACAACTGTACATGCAAGAAGTAAAAACAGCCAATATGCTTGCTTATAGGTTTATATAAAATTACATTTTTTAAGTTTATCCTTAGCTCAAAGCTTCGTTGTTCGTCACTATTGTTATCATTTTACACAATTTCACAAAAAAAATAAGAAATTAATTTACAGACTGCACTGAACTAGTTGATCTTTCTAAGGTACAATGGCATTAAATATGATAGACGACGTTGGGTGTGTTTCATCATAACTGAATCATTTTAGTCTTGGCTTTTCTTCTTAGTTACTATTTACGCTTAACGAACTTCTCGTCATCTGGAATGACTCGGTTGAAGCAGCAGTCAGAGCATGGACAGCAGGATAAAAATGGACTGCAGAGACAGGGTAGTAAGAAGACCAAGAGACATTCAACCATCTTTCGTCTCTTCTGTTTTGTTTGGTTACTTTTTAGTATTTGGTCTGTGAGTCTGTTTAGTCTTGATGTTCATTCCTGGTTTAATCTGAGGTCTTACTGGAAAATAGCACCAAGCATTATCATGGGTTAAGCGGTTTTTTTTTCAGTTTTAATACATAACGGTTTGTTTTGATGTAGTTTTTTATAAGTTGAAACTATGCCATTTTGAAAGTGATTTAATATTTTGACAGACTAACATTTTTATTTCTGTTTGATCCAATAGACGGCTGTTTACTAGACTCTATTAAAAATAGGAAAAAGGTTTTATATGGTGTTCAAAACTTATGAACCATAACATTTCTAACCATAGTATACAGTACGCTAGTATATTAAGTTTATGATTTTGTCAGTCACTGACAAAATACTAACGAAAACATTCAAACAAAATACAATCTCAAAAAAAAACTTTCCAAAGGGAGGTTTTAATATTATTACCAATAATCTACATAAGATAACATGCTGATGATGACAATGAAGTCATCATCAGCCTATCGCAGTCCACTGCTGGACATAGGCCTCTCCCGTTTCACATGAATATTTTTTTACGAATAGAAACAGAAGATAACAATTTTTTTCCTTTCTTTCCAGACAACAGACAGCGCTGACTTCTTGGCGACCCGACCGCACACCGCCGCGGTTTTGCCAGGCAAGCCCGCTGGGAATCCACTCCAGTTTGTGAAAGTAGGGCCTGCAGATCTTGGCAGCAGGGCTCGGGAACAGTTGCGTAGAGCTGAGCTCGCTAAGCGTACAGATCCTGCTCGTATAGAACGACAAGAAGACTGGCAGTCGGTGAGTGTTTTTATCGTTCTCTAAATTAGACCCTATGGTTTCTTCCTCAGTAAACTTAAAATACTGAAAATTTACAAACGGGCGACTTAATTTTTTATAATTCTGATATACCCAGTGTTTTTCTCACCATTAAGACGAATTTAACAACACCTCAAAGACCAAAATACTTCACATCGCTTATGGTACAGAACGTGCCAAAGAAATATACGACTCAGTGGCTTGTCAGCTCCTTTTCACGCAGTCTTTCCGACTCTCAAGGGTTTGGCTACCGCCTTTTATTGGTAAAACTACAATCAGATCGTTGGCAGGACAATAACAATACATTACAAAGATAGTATAATAAAACATCCCCTAAACACATATCTGAGTATAACCGTCAATCTTACTACCATTAAAAATGCGAAAGTTTTGTTGACGCTAGAATGGCTGAACGAATCTCGACGAACTTTGGCACTGAGAAAGATTATAGTTTGAAATACGACATAGGCGACTTTTTATCACAGGGAAATCAAAGTCAAAAATTACTCTTTAATAAAAATGTAACTAGACAGTAGACACATGTTTCTATTTATCATAAAGTCTTCCAATATGCAATTTATTCCCTTTAATCCGTGCCTTTTAACCTTATTCAAGATAAAATGAAATAGAAATGCAATAACATTAATGATGTAAATACCTTGTCTAAATAGTTTAAAATTTATATTTAATGCATTCTATACATATTATTAACTGTGACTATTGCGTATTAGACATAATTTACGTATTTGAAAAACGCTGTGAGCACATGATATCAAACATGTTACGTAAACCACTATATAGAAATTCTTATTTTCTCTTGAAATTGAACTTAAACATACCACGGGCTAATGTTTTCCGTGACAAATCAATCATGTTTTAAAGTGTGGGAATACTCGTATATACATATTGCTAACAACGAACACTTCCTATTCAGTATCTTGCAAATTTGGAAAAAAAGAGATAGGTTTGCTTAGAAGGTTATGTGGTCTTATAAATCTTTGTATTTCATGGATGTGGCCAACCAAAACCGACCATTTCTTTAAACGTCAACGATTATGTCATTTTGTCAATTCGCTTATGACTTGTAGGTACTTTTTGGAGTTACGTTTCTGTATGTATTAATGCTAACTACTGGTATATAGTGTCGTAGATGTAGATTAATTGTGGTGTGTGCTGAATGTAGACTTATCCTAAATTTCAGTTTATAAAGGATGGAACAAATACATATAATTATAATGCATTGTTACGTGATAAGAGTGAATGTTTATGTGTGTTGTTGTTGTCTAAGTGCGCATGTGTTCTAAATCAGTCCTACTAATTGAAATAACTGCACTAAATAGCTGAGAAAATAAACGCCTTGAACACAACGCACTGTCATTTTCCATTTTATATTTATATTAGGTATAGTATTTATCCATGTCTTGTCACCGTTTAGCCCAGTTCTAATGTCAATTAGACCTTACAAGACAGCCCTAATCTCATTTAAAGCATTTCAAATATTCGAATGTCTCCCTGACTCGAGGCGTTTGACACTTTTTCCAAATGTGTATTAATTGCCACCTTTCCAACGAAGGAAAGCTCACAAATAAGGTTAATTGGCTCTTTACACAAATCGCGCAAAATAAGTAAGCATTACTTGTTGAGTTCAAGATAAATTACTCTATACGGTGTTTATTGGCTGCATGTGCAGTCTACTTACTGGGATAGGTGTTAGAAACTAAGACGGAATTCCGATATAAAAAATCCTCCAAGCTTTTAAAGAATGGATGAGGTGTCGACGTAATACATCTATTAAGTGTCATGTGTCTGTCAAAATTTAAATAGTAGTCAAAAATAATAAGCAAAAACAGTTATAAATATTTTGTGGCATCATCATCATCAACAGCCTTGAATAGTCTACTGCTGGACATAGGCCTCTCCTTAGAAAGGAGGTTTTGGCCTACTGTACCACGCTGGCCAGACGTGTTTCTTATGGGGTTTGTATCAAGTTTTCCTTCTGTTTACAGTGCTGTTGGTGGTAGCATTCCGTATTCTCAATCCGTCACCACACGGTTTAAATCCTCATTAAGTTATAACATTAGATCCCGAGAACCAGACAAACATAATTCCTGTGGTGATTAATGAATTTCCAAAATGGCATGCGTCTGTTCTTGAACAATTTCGTACAAGTATTTCTACAAATCTTCCTTTGTTTATTATCTTATGTCATGTATTTAAGTAATAAGGAAACTAGCTGCACCAGTGGTCGTCACGTCAATTGGCACATTGCATTTGACACGTTAATTTTACAATATATCTGTGAGATTCACAGACAAGTGTTGGGAGTCTGAGTGCACATGTATACGCAATTCTTTGTATAACTGTTACTTTACATTTGCAGTTAATGTGACATAGGCGTGTTAAAAGGAACACTAAGTATAAACTATTACAGCACATTCTTAGTATTAGACATTTGGAACATTTATTTCTACTTGATCTATACTGTTGGTCACAAAAATAACGCAATCTAAGGACGTGCCATATAGCTTCAAACTATAAATAGCGGAGTAGCTTAGATAATTCGTCACAGTGATCGTAAAGAGGCGACCACTGATGGATGATCGATAGATGAGTGCTGTGGGTCCGATCCCCACATTGGACGACACTTTGTGTGATTCACAAATTGTTGTTCTAAGTCTGGGTGTTCTTTGTGTCCGTTTCATGTATGTTTGTAAAGTCACAAGCGACACAGGATTTATCCCTAGTGCGGGAGTTATCTTGCGTTGCAATTACATATATCGTATTGTGTCGTGTCGTGTCGTGTCTTTCGAGTCGTCGTTGTAAAAGAGATGACCGCAGGGAGCACTGCGTAATCCATGTATTATATCGCACACTAGCCATGCGGCGCGTGATTATTTGGTGTTTTTAACCTTGAAAATGACGAAATGTCAAACAACTGTTCATTCCTAATTTTGCCCTTTTAGGTGTGAAATTTCAAACAATCCTTTCTTAGTGTGTGCTTACAACACGAAAAGAATCAGATGCCAAAATTTCAAGTTTGTACCCCAGCGGTTTAGGCTCTGCGAATGATGAATCAGTCAGTCAGTCAGTCAGTCAGTCAGTCAGGACAAGTATTTTTACACTAGCTGACCCGCGCAACTTCGTCTGCGTCTCTCAATAGTAATACATTTTCTCCGTTTTTGAAACATTCTTCATTGGTGCTCCGCTCCTATTGGTCTTAGCGTGATGATATATAGCCTATAGCCTTCCTCGATAAATGGGCTATCTAACACTGAAAGATTTTTTCAAATCGGACAGGTAGTTCCTGAGATTAGCGCGTTCAAACAAACAAACAAACTCTTCAGCTTTATAATATTAGTATAGATTAATAGATTGTGACGGGTCGTATCATATGGTGTCGTGTCGCTTTGTGTACACTATACTAGTTTAAATGAAAAAGCTAGTTACCTGAACGTGTATTTAGTAAATATTCCCCTAAGTACAAGTACAGCGTGCCATGTGGGGCGTGGGTATTGATTTATTGTCTGTCGTAAACATCTGAGTTACTGTTTTTGTTGGGATTCTATTTTAGAATCGTTAATGTCCAAAATACATAGTTAAAGCCTTTGAAGTGTTGTATGCAGTTATCTTGTAATTTGTGTTGGACATACTGCAAGTTTCTAATAATTTATGTGTTAAAGTATGAATGTCTGGTAGGTGAAAGACTCAAACTTTTTTACAGTGTAGTTTTGACCGATTTCTTCAAAAAATTTAGAAGTTTCTCGTAATTAACACTTTCTTCTGTAGTATAATTAATTATTAAATGTTTATTTATTTGAATTTTACATACATTTTTATTTATACCTTATTGCTTCTACAAATTTAAGAGATCACATCATGTTAAGAAAATACATAATAATATATAACAATTTAAATAATCTGATTAGTCTTTGAATGACTGATGAAAGTCTCCATGATAAAGGGGAACTTGTTTGAAATTACGCATGTCTAGTCCGTTTGTGTGATGAAGGATTAAGAATACAGAGTGTCACTACCCCTAATCATCCCGACTTAGCAAGCCTACTAAAGGAGCAAACTACGCAGGACACCAGCACTGTAAAGAGAACGAAACCCTAACACAAACCCTATACCAACCCATCTGGCCAGCGCGGTATAGTAGGCCAAAACCTCCTTTCTAAGGAGAGGCCTATGTCCAGCAGTTCTTTATTAAAGGCTGTTAATGTGATGTGTGATTTCTAGTCCTTAGAGACACGTCAAATTATTCGAAAATCAAGGTACCACTCTATACCACTTTCATCAACCTACACAAATTATCCCAACTGCACCTCCGTATATTTAAAAATTACACATGTGTTTGAGACACATACCTTGTTAGTGTTGTTTTTCAAAATAAAACGTCACCGGCGCTGTTTAACGTCAGCACAAAGAGCTGCGCCCGCGCCGCCGGAAGCGCTCCACAGAAGCATGCGCGTCACTTCCGGTCGCAACGGCGCGGCGGCAACATTGCCAGCTTTGTTATTGTTACGTGCCGATTGAGGTAATTGGTTCCATGGTATTCCCAGAGGAATCTACAGCAATTATGAGTTTAACTACTGGAGGAGATTGTTTAAACTGCGCAGTTGTAGAATGCAGGATGGATAAAAACTAAAACACTTCTTGAGTTCTTTATAAATTGTATTTGTGGAAAATCTTTACAAATTGTTATCGAAACTGTCATCCAAAGCTGATGGATTAAGATTCGGTTACATCATTTTTTTGTTTTATATTTCGCTTAGACGTAATCTTCTGAGACACGAAACAGAACTGAGATTGCATTAGCTTGAAGAATACTTGTATTTCCTTTTTTTATTGTATAAGGGCAAACGAGAAGATGTGTCACCTGATGGTAAGTGAAGAACTGCTTAACACCAGTTTTCTGTAAGGGCCTGGTATCACCTCGGCCAGACCGGCCCATTTGTGTTCGGGACATGGCTCTCTAATAAGAACAACGAAAGAAAAAGTATAAGATGTTACAGAATGGTACCCTAGGGAAGGGAACAGAGAGAGGTAGACCATTCAAGATGGAAATACGACTTCAAGGAGACAGCTAGAGTACACTGGAGGAGAAAAGCCCGCGACCCTGAACTTTGGAAGAGTCTGGGGGAAGCCTATAACCTTACTACTACTGATGTATATTATTAAGTACTTTTATTATAAAACAAGAAGAAATTTAAAATTGAATGGCTCTCCCACGATTAGAGCGATTAGATTAGAGATTTCTTGTGATGGAGAGGTTCTAGACATGGACATCAATATCCGTAGAAAAGAATTCTTTTCTACTAATCTAAAAAATCGTTTTATTAAACATTTCGCAGAAGACGTCCCTTACACGTCTTACATTCCTAAACAATTACTTGTGAATAATCGAACTGTATTTATACTGAATCCATTTTTCAGGTAAAAAGATAAAACAAAGTATAATAGTACCTCAGTTTATTGTTCGGTGCAACTAGCATTATTGTACCTTAGAACGGTACGTTGGGCACGAATTGGTTTAAAATACTAAGAAATGACGTCACAGTTCACTCTTGTCAAATAATTTTTAATGTTACTTGAATATTGTTAAAATAAAAAAAAGTGGAGCCGTCTGGCAGATTAGAAACACTGAAATGATTTTGTAATTTTTTTTTAGTATAAAAGAATCGCTAGGAAAAAAACTAAAATATGTAAATAATTTTTGTAAAGTACATTTTGTAAATGTGCTTTTCTGACATTAATGACAGATGCATGATATCCGTCCATCCTAAAATCATCAACAGCCTTTAATAGTCCACTGCTGGACATAGGCTTCTCTTTAGAAAGGAGGTTTTGGCCTACTATACAACGCTGGCCAGACGGGTTGGTATAGGCTTTGTTTCAAGTTTTCCTTCTCTTTGCAGTACTGTTTCCCTGAGTAGTTTTGTTGCCTTAGTCTCGACTCTTACGACACCCACGGGATGAATAGGGATGGTGACACTCCGTATTCTTAATCCGTCACCACACGATCCTAAAAACTGTCATCAAATTGGTTATTAATACATTCACAGAATCCGAAATAGAAACCAATCCACATTCACCAAGACTTAAGATGTTGTAGCATTATTGCGGTCATTGCGGAGATTAGCCGAGATTAGCCATCGTTAAACTGCCAAGACTTGCGCAATCGCACTGCGATTTAAAAATATATCTGCGTTTCCTACCGCACAATAATAGGTCTATTAAGTTCTCTAATCTTGGGTGGTTTAAACTAAAAACTTAAGCGTTTATTTTGGTTTTCAATTTTAAAGATTAAAGTTTATAACATACCTAGTTTTGCTATCTGGGTTTAGCGTGGAAATATCAAACACATATATGATTGATTCCCTTCCAAATCAATGAAATGTTATGTACAGTGGCTAGGTGGTTAAGGCGTGAAAGGGTAACAAACAAACAAATTCACTTTCACATTTATGAGATATATAATATAAAAGTATGGATATATAAATGGTGTTTAGGTGTCTCGTTCTTAAGACGGTCATTACCTCTGTAGACCATCGAAAACGTCTCTTAAGCGTTTTTAGTCTTGATACAGCTCAAATTATTCTATGGATTTTTTGTTCTCGTAATTACAATCTACGACGGTATAGATCACGCCAGTAACATACGGTACATTTCAGTTGAAAAAAAAAACAGTGCTCTAATCCAATACAAAAGTAACTTCTTATTAAAGACTTTTTTTAAATTGAAGAAATGATATAAAAAAAAACCTTTATTGTCGCTCTTACTTTTCATTTAAACCACACAAAACGCAGACCTTTTGTTCTTTGGTTTAGTTTCTTCAGACGAAATAGCAAAAAAACGCCATTGCCACTGCACGCGACGTTTAACATTGTATCTAGGTATAACCATCTGATCATGAACCGTCATCTTGAAAAAGTTAACACATAAAATTATTTAAGCTGACTGACTGACTGGTTCTTTTTTTATATATTCTACCACATTCATACAACGCCATCTAGTCCCAAACTAAGCAGAGCCTGGGTGTTCTTTGTGTCCGTTGCATGTATATTTGTAAAGTCCCCCGCGACACAGGATATATTCCTAGTGCGGGAGTTATAAAAAAAATACTTCAATTCGAACATATTTTTATTATGTTCGAGTTCGAAAATTCTGTATTGATCTTGGAGGATATACTTCCCGTTTGGTCCTATTATTTGATTAACAAATACCACCACTACGTGTGGAAAATTAAGGAACGTAGAACACAGTTTACTGTCGTCAGTGATACTATTTAAACTTTCAAAGTTAATTAGTTTAAGTTGGCTTCGAGCTAAAGCAATTTACGAAATCTTTGTGTCACAAGGTTTTCTCTGTATACATGTATTCACTAGCCTCATTAATCATTCCTAATTAAAATTATCATGATCCTAATTAAATGGAACATCAGTGCGTCAGAAAAGTTCATAATTAATGCAGATGTAACCTCTAAGGTCTAGTATCGATAAACAATTACTGATCTAGTGGAATAAGCGGCCATTTTGTTTAGTTGGTTTGTAACGTGATTGAAATAAGAAGTTAGTTTAATTTATTAAATAAAACAGTTTTGTAATAATGGAAAAAATATTGGAATTACGTGATCGTATGCGTAAGGTAAGTTTTTTTAACTTGAGTCGTGACTTTTTATCTTTTTTACGTAATAATGTTATTATTATAAACAACCTACATAAAGTGAATCATCAATTTAACAGTTTTTATAACTAAAACTTCTCATATTTATATATTTCTTATCTCATCTTCAGCCTTAATTTGTAACAATATAACCAACTGGAGGAAATGGGCCTATCCTTATTTCCCCTCTTAGCGGCTTAACTTTACGGAGTGTCACCCCTATTCATCCCGTGGGTGTCGTAAGAGACGACTAAGGGAACTACGCAGGCCAACAGTGGACTGGTAAAGGCTGTTGATGATCGTTTTTCTTACTTATGTACACATACAGAGACGTCAGATGCTGGTTGTAATTTTGTTTTCTCCATTTTATGTGATGCTCCATCTAAACCATTAGATGCTATTATATCAAATTGGGCGTTTTAACGTTGGGGCTTTTTAAACTAAGGTGGATTTTTAACAGTTTTTTTCTTTCAACAGAACTTGGACAACTGGAAGTCCTCGAGACGGAAGCGCGTGGAACACATAATTGAGAGGTGCGTAGAGGTGCGGCGAATGGAGCACGAGCCTTGCCAGCCCCGTGCCAAGTCCAAGACCTTCAACGAGATGCTGGAAGAACGGTAAGTGATAAACATCATATCTTAGTTACTAATCGTCCAGTTTTTATATTGCCGCGACAGGTAGCTTTACACCTTGGTGAAGGATCCCGATTGGGACCGAAACATCGGGTTTTCCCTAATACACGTGAATGCAACTAAATACCTCTAATAGATGCGTACGTGTCGTAGTGAAACGAAAGAGAAACGGCGTACATTTAGCCGTTTATATTCGCGTGCAAGTCACAACGTAGCAGTTACGTGGAAAACCAGTAATAGTTCATAGCTGATGACTGACGAGAATACTAAAACAACACGCCGAAAGCTAGTCTAGGCGTCCGTGTGGTGACGGATAAGAATACGGAGCGTCACCACCCCTATTTATCCCGTGAGTGACATAAGGAGCAAACTACGCAAGACAACAGCACTGCAAAGAGAAGGAAAACTTGACACAAAGCCTATATCAATCTGTCTGGCCAGCGTGGTATAGTAGGCCTACACCTCCTATCTAAGAAGAAGCCTTTGTCCAGCAGTGGACTATTAAAGGATGTGAAATAAATGTGATTTTAGTCCTTAGGGACGCGTCTAATTATGATGACGAGTTGGTCTAATGTTTATTGATGCTGTCTGCTGCAACAGAGTTCGTCAATTCCCGCACAGCAGAACCAGATATTTATTTATTTAGGACAACTTACAAAACATACACTAATACATAGTTTCCAAACATGTTTTACAAATATGTGCTGAGTGTTGTCTTACTTACAAGTTGCCACGGCATGGTAAGGGACAGTTACATCTAAGATTATACAAAGCAATATCTATAATAATATACAAAACATACAGAACATCATCGAAATTAATTAGAGACAGTGATGCATTTAAAGTGGCCTAAGAAGATCTGACGCAATAACTTTGCTTTTAAATTGTGGTTTGATATGTAATAAGGACGATATATGTGCTCTGTTTGTGTTATATGAAAGTATTTTATAAAGTCCATCAATAAATCACAACAAGTTCTAACCGCGAGACTAAAAGACTTAGTCACAAAAACTTTTGATTGTAAATATTCCAGGTTGGAATAATTCCAGTAGATTAGCTTATCTAGTATTGACGATAGCACGTGCGCATGTGTTTGTTAGTAATGGTATGTTAAGTACATGTACACTACGAGTGTACAGTAATTACCTACATGTCATGAATTTTTTTTTTTTTTTTGGATTACCACGAAAGACTTAGGATCCCGGCATGAGGTATCAAAAGACTAAAGTCCCGAAGCTAGCTGCTATTGCTAAGACTTAGAATATAATTTTAAAAAATTGGGTAATTTGTGGATCTACAAAAACCATTTATTACTCCATTATATTATACTACAGATGTAAAAGTTTGTAAGTTTGTCTGTTACGGTTCAAAATCCACTTCATCATCAAACTGTGATCACGTAATTTTGTAAAAATATGTATATAACTTTATGGAAATAATATTTATTTAATACAATTTCAACCATCGTATCTCGTTCTGAGTTTTTTTTCGGAAATCTCGAGATCCGGGACAAATTAATTTACAAAAATACCCGGGAATCCGAGACATCTCAAGTGTCGGAACTTAAACTCTATGCCGAATAGTAGGCAACATTCCTATGGTTTAAGCACATAAATATGTATATTTTATATTAAGATATGATAAAAAATTGCAACAAATATCTATACACAATGAGCATGAGACTGGCCTGTTGGTCTAGTAGTTAGTGAACTTGACTGCTACTCCAGAGGTCGTGGGTTCAATTCCCACCCAAGAAAAATAATTGTGTGATTAACACGTTCTGTTCATGTTCTGCGTCTGGGTGTCATTTATCTATAATATGTATATATTAGAAATATATAATATATAATATATTAGAAATATATAAGTATGTTTATCAGTAGTCTGGTTACCATAGTGCAGGCTCTGTCTAGTTTGGAATCAGGCGGCCGTGTGTGAGATGTGTGAAAATATTATTATTATTCTCTTTATTAAATTATATATACAAATTAATTACATTTTTAAATATATTACAAAATAAAAAAAAAAACCATTTAAAAATATAAAAAATACTAGACCACCGACGTCGGGTACAAGGACTAAGACACCGGTGGTTAGGACACCAAAGATAGGAACCTCCTCCCAATACGAGCCGTGTCATGGAGGACTGCCTTCTGCATCAGACCCTTGATCCAGGCGTCCAACGTGAGCCTCTTAAGGTGTTGGTCGAGGCTCTTAATCAATCAATCTTATTATTATTATTTAACTAAATCGATATAAAAGATTCTCACGCGAATCGATTTATCATCAGTTATTACAAACACCACGTATCGAATTATCTGTTCTTATTACATTGCATCATCGTAATTACGACTAATACAACCTATAGATCATTTCTCAACAGTATCGAGTGCAATCTGTTGTTAAAGATTCGGCCACACTTGTTAAAAATTGCGCGCTTATGCAGAATATTTTCGCTTGATGATGGATGGTAGCGCGTTTAGTTTGTGAAACCTTACACAACATTTTTTTACCTGTCGTCTTTCTCAGACTCTTTATGCAAAATAATTAAACTAGGTTCTTAAATCAACTAAAAGAAATGTCAGTATTTCAAGTTATTCATTCCCTGTTAATTATGTCATCATTTAAGATACTAAAATACAAGTCCGCCTTATATATATATATATATAGTCCGCAATATGTTTGCAAGAAGACTCAATAAATAAATAAATAAAATAAAATACAAATATTATTACATCACGAGCCGTTTAAGTTATTCATTTGATTATCAAATAAAAAATAACTTAATTGTTGCTTGTTTTTGCTATCGGTACATAACATGAAAGTGTTAAGAAAATAATAAACTTGAATCAATAATATTAATTTCTAACTTTTAGAAAGCCGATATTCATTTAAATGTAAATATACAAATATTCTTATTTTAAAAATGCTTTATCAGTGCCTTTACTCGATTTCCAAATTTAACTCTTTAAACAACGAACTTTAATGTAATTTTTTAAAATTTTTCTCCTGATTACTTAAGTTTTTTTCGGTTTCGAAGGTCGCAGGCGGTCATCACGTCTCTATCCGAGATCCAAGAGATCCATTTAATGAAGCACATATACATAAGGTTGGTGGGTACCTTATGAATATGCGCTCATTTATGTCACAACTCATATTTCTTTCATGTCCTTTAGAGTAAAAGTCTAAATAAAACATATATTCTTATTTTTATCAAGTGTAGCTGCGCCTTTAGATTTTATGCCCTTGAGTTTCCGATTATAAATTAAATTTATTAGGTGTATATTCATTGTAATGTTGCAAATTAACGAATTTAATTCGTTTTGGTTGAAAATATACTTAATAAAACCTTACTGAGATTTCGAAATCGTTTGAAAAAAAATCATCGATTACATTACAAGAACAATTAATTAAATCACGATTGCTAAAAACTGATATACATAAAATATCATTAATTGCCTGACCGCAAACCAAATTTAATTTAGGATCTGCGCAGTAAAACATTGTTTCGACTGGTGTCTTAAACGGCCATGCCTGATGCTAACTAGACATGGAAATTATTGCTACTTTAAAATCATAAAAATTTGATGAAATGATTGGCTTCAGTCACAGTGATTTCAGATGTGATTGTGGTTTTTTCATAGACAAAGATAAATGGCATTTAAATCAATCAAAATTCTTTTAATCGAAGATTACGACCTTTATTGTTTTTAGATTTAGACCTTTCGCGAGTCTTGCCTCTTTCTAAGGAGAAGCCTATGTCCAGCAGTGGACTAGTAAAGGCTGTTGATGATGATAATGAGTCTTTGCAGACGGAATAAAGTAAAAAGGTTAATTGTTTTTTATAGTATACTAGCTGACCCGGCGAACTCTGTTCCGCCTTAAAGGCAATAAATAAGCCGATTTTCGAATTTAGTAAGTTAATTTATTTCTTAGAAAAAAAAATGAAGTACATTAATCATTTATTATTGTTTCTGCATTTCACTACATAGGTTGCTCTTCACTTAAGTACCTTGTGATACACGACATTTTTTGTTTTCTTATCAGGCGCAAAAACAAACAACGCAGATGGTCTTCCGACCAATACTCAACGTTGCAATGTGTCTTTAACGTTTTAGAAATAAGTGGCGAATATGGAACAATCCAACTGTTGTCGACAACGAAATCCATTCTTTTCACTTTTGTTGTGACAGTTCCACCGTTGTCATCTGGTGATCGACGCCGATACAAAAAAAAAAATAAACGGCATAAATAGTATCCTATGTCCGTCTCCTGGCTCTAAGCTACCTCCTCACCAATTTTCAGCCATATCGGTAAAGCCGTTCTTGAGTTATAAATAGTGTAACTAACACGACTTTCTTTTATATATATAGATAAAGGCAAAAGAGTGAACTGGCTACCTAATGGTTATTGAATATTGAGTACCACCGTCCATGGTTACTTGCAACTCAAATAGTCACAAGTGCATAGCCTCCTTTTGTGTCTCCCTTAAAATTAGACGGAGGAGGGCGAGGTGGGGGGTGTAAAAGACATAGAAAGAGTTTGTTAAGTCCTGTTTTATGTTTCTATCCATTGTTTTTGTAGTTATTTCCCCTCCTCTTTAAATTGCAGCATCATTACATAGCCTTACCTATATCATTCATAGTTATATTATTTTTCTTAATAAATAGGTTACCTATCGCAAAAAAATATTTGACTTTGTTTGGAAGAGATAGATTACCGCATTTACCTAAACAGACTGACAGACCGATAAATTAATATAGATTTAACTCGTCTACACATGTCTTTCTTTATTCTTGTCTATTATACGAAGCTTAGTTGACATCTTAATTTTTTAAATAGACATCTAAGTATAGAAATTGTAAACTAGTACTTTTACGTTTTAAAACCTTGTTTACTAAATCAACAAAACTCCTTTGTTTAAACTTTTTTCATGACGGTCATTAAACGTAGTCGTAAAAACACTGGCCACCAAATCGCTGTAT